AACCTTTTGAAATTATTGATAGGATTGGTGGTTGTGCTTCGAGGTTATTATTGCCTAATCATATATCATTTTAAGGTGAATTGGACTTTTTGAATAGGTAAGCTAAGTCCAAGGTACATTGGACCTTTTAAAATTATTGAGAGGATTGGTGATTCTACTTATATGCTATTATTGCTTGATCATATATCATATATGCATAGTGTATTTCATATATCTTCTTTGAGAAAATATGTATTTGATTATGAGATGAGATTATCTATTGATATTATTGAGTTTCATCCCAGTTTGCACTATTAGAAAGAGCTTGATGGGATTATTGCATATGATGTAAAAAAATTGATGAGCAAACAGGTTCTGATGGTGAAGATGTAGTAGAAGCATGAGACTGCCAGAGAGGCTACTTGGGAGAAGGAATTTGAGATGAAACAATTATATCCAAATGAGGTTGCTTTAGAATGTTGTTATATACAATCTCTGATAATTTAATTATATTTTAGAACTGTTAATTTTTGCTCAGTAGTGTCTTTGTTGCCTACTGTTAGGATATTTTGGCACTTTTTGAGTTAAGTTTAAATATACTTTATTTAATGAAATACATTGAATATGTGCATAATATTAAAAGAAATGTGATATTTTGGAAGTGAGAAAGGATTTTTTTAAGCTGAAGCCAATGGGCTACTATGGTGACATTTTGTTATGTTGGGGCCTGAGGGCTATCGAGGAGGGATTTTGTTATATATTATGATGTGTTTTATTATGCCGAAGGCAGTGGGCTACTGAGGAGAAATTTTTTTATGCCAGAGCCTAAGAGCTACTGATGAGTGAATCTAATATGAGATATGTTATGATGTTGGAGCCTAATGGGTATTATGAGATTTGTTATTTATATTTTCATTATTTATTTAAATGCATTCAATATCAATATATATTTCAGTTTCAGTTTTTTGTATTGTACTTCAATTACTATTACATCACAGTATTTTCAATTATTTTGATTTTAATTATTGACTTATGTTTTAGGTAATGATAGCCTACTGAGCCATATTAGCTCACTCCTACTTTGTTTTCAATTTTTAGGCTAGATAAAAGGTAAAGAGTGAGCATAGTAGTTTTAATAACAGGTTCTAATTTATGTTGTAGGTATGCCTTTTTGGTTGGTTATATTTTTGCAAATTTGGCTTTCATTTTACTATATTTGTCAATTATCAAGTGTTGTTATAGATATACCTCATATTATATATGTATTTTTGGATGTTATATAAACAAATCATTTTTTAGATTCAATAGTTTTCTGCTTTATTTTATATTCACTAGTGGCTCTATATTATATATAAACTGAAAGTTTAATTTTTCTCAGCACTTCTCTAACTATATATTGGGATCAATTTCTGGTTCTTATAACAATTGGATACAATATGACTTGTGTGGTATCGTATCATATCAGGCTGGGTTGGGGCACTTGGAATCCTATTGGAGTAAAATTGATATGGTGGGTCATATTACCACCTTGTAGTTAATGGCATTGCCTCTGGACATCAATGATGCTTTGAAAATCTTGTTTGTAACTTAAGGAGTCTATGCAGAGATATGTCACGCCTGCTAGTAGAAGTCATCACCTCCTCATAATTTAATAGGATGTTTGTAACTTTGTTTACCAATGGCTATAAGCCGCAAAAGGGCTTGCAAAATCTCCTCAAAATGAGGCAAGAACCAAGCGAGTTATTGAGGATCTTTATTGTGAGGCTCTAGAGGGAGATGTTGGAAGTGAATGCTTTGGACCTTGCAGTCACATCGACTGCCTTAACTCAATGATTGAGGAAAGTCCTTTTAATTATGCACTTAGTCTACTGCAGCTCAAGATGTTCGCTAAGTTGTTCGAATTCATAAAAAACCACTTTAATACTAAGGAGTAAAATTAAGTGACCAAATTGTCTTTGTCCATAGGACTGGCATCCAAGGGACTAAATAGATAGAAGGTTCATTGTGTTGTGTCGTAAGACCACCACGACCTAAAACAACAAAGAGTGCCCTTGCAAGTTAAGCTACTTAGGATTGTTAGTCCACTAATATAAAGGGTATAACAGATCCCTCGAGAGCTATACCATCGAGCCACACACCCTTATCATGAGGAGGGTACACATCACAATCCTAATTATCCCACATATACTCCTTTGCGAGTATCAATATTTGATTTAGTGGAGGCAATTCAAAAAAAGAAATTCTATAAGCGCATTGGGTCTATGAAGGCAAGTGCACATGCTCATGAAATATCAAAATGTCGCACCTTCCATAAGGACAATGGCACGACACATGGGAATGTCACCACCTACAAGGGTTGGTTGAAGACCTCATTAAGACAAGAAAGTTGAAGAGTTTGTACTAGCCAAACTTAGTCAACACCTAAGTAGAGCTATAATATAAAGCAATTGGAATGAGCCCATTCTATCTTATTGCATTCACATGGCAAGGGTGCTTGCTATTATGGGTGGCGAGCGAGCTAACACCATGATGATGCCTAAGAGACTAAAGGTAGGAGAAGTCAACTTGGTGTTCACCTCACGAACAACTATGATGGACATCACCCCAATCATATTTTGTGAGACATATAGGCTTGTTGGGATGAAACTATATAATGATGGTGCTCCAACTATCAAATATGTAGCAATTTAATTAACACATAAAGTTCCATCAATATTATTTTTAAATTTATCTTTGATAAAACGAGTCTTCTTGCTTCCTAGCTCACTTCTACCATGAGCCTACTACATTGTTTGCTAGGAGAGCGCTGAGAAATATAAGGAATACTAACTCTACTATCACCTAGGATGAGGCTGACCAGCAGTACATAGCTATAGTATATTTCATTATTATGGATAATGTTACCCTTTATAACATCATCTTTGGGTGGTCCCCTACTGAACATCTTTAGGGTGGTAGTTTCAACCAATGTTTTAAAAATCGGACAGGTCCGGCCGGTTCGACCGTGAACCAATCATAGGACAGGTCCAATTCAGTCTTAAAACCGCCTCTACAATGAACCGAACTGAACCGGTTAGAACCGTCGGTTCAACGGTGAACCGACCGGTTCAAATTCCAAAAATTTTAAATACTTTTAAATAAATAAATTAACATATATTTAAACTTTTTAATTAATAATAATATATCTTTTATCATATACATTTATCTCCAAACCATCATGAAGCATTTCACATGGAGTGGTGGTACCATGCGAGTTTCAAAAGAAACTCAAATGCTATATAAACACTAGCAAGAAAGTCTTTACAAGGGATGTGGGACTGAGGAAAGAGTTGAGATGTGAATGAACTCATAAATATATATAATGCATATAAAAACTATTTTTATATTATTTTTTATGTAAATAATACTTATTTATTAGATTATTATACACACTATACAAAATAATTTCATTAATAATTTTATGTATTTAATTATTTATTAATTATGTAAGATATAAATTTATAAAAGAAATTTGGTATCAACATAAACTTGTAAAATATATTTAATCATATATATAAATAAGAATATTTTATATTAAATTTATAAACTTTGTTACAATAAATTATATTAAATTTATGGTTATATGTAAATTTAATTTAAATTAAAAATTAATTTAAAATTCGACAAAATATTTAAAATTAAATTTAACATATTTTTATAAGTGTAATTCTTATAATTATGAGATTGAATTTTTTCTTTTGTGAGATTTAAAATAATTCCTTTTTTACTTAATTATAATAAATTTTTATGTTTCATAGTTTTTTTTTAATTCTAATTTTTTGTCTCAAATTTGAATGATAACTTTATTATTAATGTAATTTTATTAACTTTTAATAATATTTATATTTATTACGTCATCCGGCTTCGACCCCGAGTTAGACCCGTTGAAACCTGTGAACCTCTCATTCTTCTCAGTTCGTTGTCCGGTCTCCGATTTTCACAACCTTGATTTCAACCAACCATAGTGAAATTCAAATTCGCTGCTAGTCGAAGAAAATAATCATGAGATGCGGCCTCACATAATCCCATACCTACTACTTCTCTAGAACAGGGACTATAATTTTTGACATTGAATATAGGTTACGGGTTAGAAACAATATAGCCATGGAAAAGTTTCCTCCTGTGAAGGTGACTCAGACCACCTAGAATATAGCTGCTTCATTTAGTGTGGAGCTCTCGAGGCAAGCTCATCAAACCCTCATAGATGACTTGGACAAAACTGGGTATAAATTTTAACCACTATTATTCAAAGATTCATAAAAATATCAACATTAATTTCTTAACATCCAAAGCTCAAATAAGGGAGAAATTATTGTGTCGCAATCGAACGTGTTCAATGTGCGTACACACTGCTTATTTTGTTGCCTATTTTTTTTAAACATAATTTTTTCTCGTATTTTTTGAGTATGTTTTTGTGTGATTTGTGAGTATTAATATTTGCTACTTATTTATTTGCCACGCAAAAAATGTATCGTAAAAAAATACGTCATAAAATAGCAGTGTGGTACGCACATCCGAACACGTTCGGATTACGTACACAATATTCCTCCAAATAAGGGGTTTCCTGCGTATTTTCTTCCAAAAAAAGAGTTTGACCTTGATACCTTAAAATTTTAACATATAATATCCAAACCTAAACTACTATTTCCACGTCATCACTAAATAACATTTTTTAATCGCCGTCTTAAAGAAACAGAAAATCAAGTTGGGGGTTGTTTATATGATGAGTATATATATACAACGCTCTGGAGCAGACTTAGCTTCGTTTGCGATGACCTTTCTTACCGCAGTTCTTAGAGATCAGGCTGTTCTAGTATAGTAAAATTAAAATTTTTTGTGCTAAAAATGTTGCTTCAGGAAGCATATAAGGGGCGAGCTACCCATAAACGAAACGTTATTCTCCATTGCACTATGATTCTTATTACTTATGAAAAATTAACTGCATTCACATAATCATAAACATTAATATAATAAATGTAAGAATGGCTAATAATCTGAATGCAGCAGTTAAATTCCTTCTTAATTATTTTCTGCTTGCTACAATCGTTCGAACCAACACGAGAGTCAGATTTCACCATGTTCCTGTCCACGGTGGTTACCGTCCACTCCGCATCGTAGATTCTCTTTCTCATGGGCTTTCGTCGTCGAGCGGGGAAATAAGCTTCCCCTCCGATTGCCCTACCCTTCTTCTGGTTTGCACCTCGAAAGGCGAAAGCCGCTTTCCTCTCTTCTGGTTTATTCTTGTGTTTGAATGAACTTAGATTTCTAAATCTTTTTGTTTTATCTCGAATTGCGACCTAATCGCTGCAGCCTGGCTCTCATTCGGTAATGTCAGCCAGTTAGCTATCGATCTCCTGATCTCATCTTTGAGAGCTAAAAGAATTGCGTACTTGGACGAGCCTTCGGTTCTTCCTTGCGTTGGTAATGATGCTTACGGGCCGCTTCCAGAGGGTGATCTGCCCTTCCCTCTTGAAGGTTTGTTGAACGACATATAGTATTTTTTTTCTGTTTTTCTTAGGTTTTTTATTTCAGAGTGTCGAAAGCAAATTCTTCGCGCCTTCTGATTGGCTTGTTCAGTCTCTCTGTTTCTGTGAACCTTTTTTATGCGCTCATGCAAAAATTTTATTATGTGTACTGTGATTGAAGTGAAAATTTTAAACTGACTGTGCGCTGAAGTTACGAAAGATATAAGCTAATGAAAAAAATAGCTTAGGTGTTTGATCGTGTACAATGGAGAGTAGATGCACGATTAAAGATGTAAAATCTAATCAATGCAGAAGTTTTGCAGAAATGACTCAAATGGCGTAGGTCGAAAGGTGAACATCCAGAAATTATGCCGAAGAATTAACACGTCATGTAATACCTTGGGAGAATTAAGTAAGAACGAGAATTCATACGGCTAACTTGAAAGAGTTAAGATAATGACTATGATGATGATAATGATTTCTTGTCTCAATTTTACATTTTATACTACTGATGATAATGTTGTGACATATAAAATCTAGATAACCAAGCTTGTGATGATCAAGACAAAAATAACTTAGGGATCCAAATCTATTACTTCAGGGTTCTATATTACATGACTGCAATATAAGCATGATGAAGAGCGGAAAACTTTGCAATTTAAATAACACTTTTATCTGGTTATTGAACAAAGGGACCATTTGAATTTCACTATAGCTTTTTAAAATGTCAATTCTTAGAATGCATTTATACACCTATGAAATTTATGAATCACTAATCTTTCCATCTTAACCACCATAATTAACTTATTTAACTTTCTTGATGCATGTCAGAATGCCTAGATTCATTGCAAAAGTTATGAAATTTAATTTCTTAATATTTTTCTGAGGAACAGAGAGATCTGGTCTTGTTTTGTTTATGCAAACAACGAACAACACAACAAACAAGCTTTATCCCACAGTGGGGTCGGCTACATGAATCCTTTTTCATCCAATTGTATCCTATTAAGAGTAAATTCTCATTTAAATCAAAAAAAAATAATTTGTAATACTACTAATCAAGGTCTTCTGTAAGTGCTAACTCTTATCCTTCCTTAATATATGGGCGATCTAATACATATCTCTCTCCGTGTTGGCGTCATCAAAAGGCCTGATGTTTTTATGTGATCAAACTATTCAAGGAATGACTCTCCTTATCTTATATGCCCTGGAGCTACCTACAACGTATTTCACGTACATACTATATTCACAATCTTCTGTATAGTGTAAACTCACTCTCCCACTTGCTGACATCCAAGCGGTCTGCAACACTTAGATTTTAAATGCTTCTGATTGTGTTATTAATGGTCTAACATGTCCTCAATGTTGTATTAACTATTATGGAGAGAGGAGAGTGGTTGTCCATGTATGCACACAAACAACCACTAGCATAGCACCCTCTCTAAATGGCTTAACGCCTCCTCTATGTATAATCACATCATACGTATCTATCAGGGATAAGCGAAATCGTCGGCAGGGACAGCATAGGCTCGATGTTCGGCCTGTGGTCTTTCGATTAAAGTCGTCGTTTCCGTGGAAATCCATTTTTAAGCACTAGCAAAATAATGATATCTTCTTAAATGCTTGATCTTAATAAATCAAGGCATTAAGAGCCACAGTATATTGTGTGTTGCGGCGCACACTGCGCGTGGAGATTAATTAGTTCAGAATAACATTTAGTTGTATGTTCGTGAACGAAGCCTTAACGAAACATTAGATTCGTCATTTATGAATTATCTATATTACAATTTACCATCATATTTTTATTTTACAATAGTGGTACGACAGGAGTCGCGCTCTTGTTATACAATTTTTAACTTTCTGAACAAAAGGTATTTACATTTGTCAAAGTTTTGCTGATTCTCCTAGGATTGTTTAAGATGTTCATGAACAAATTTAATATTGTTTGTTCAATTGATTGTTTGTTAAATATGTTCATGAACTAACTCGTTAAGACTTGTTTTGTTTAAACAGCTCGATAAGCATTAAAACGAACAGAACATGAAACCGAACATGAAACCAAACAGTGAACACCCTTGAATAAACGACCAATACCATGAACACAAACATAAAGCCTCGGAATCAAAACAACCCGAACTTGAACGAAGCTATAATGATAAAACGAAACTCAAACATGACACTCACATACTCGGCCTCGGCCTCGATTCGTTTGGCAGCCCTAGTATACCATATCAACAAATTTAGTAAGGAATAGCAACAATATTTGAGAAATCAATTCCTTAATGAAGCTCTTCTTTAAAGAATTAAGTGTTTTATTCATATAATCTCCAGGAATATTGAATGGAAAAATGATTGATGAACAAAAAATGATATAAAATAACAAACTTAACATGACTATACTAGCACACATAAATCTTAGTACTAGTAATTTGAAGTTGGAGACTCACATTTCTAGAAATCCCTTGTTTGCAAAGAACTCTAATCAATAGTGTTGAAATAATTTTTCAGTAAAAATTGGTGGTCCTCGACTCTACTATTGAGACAGCAAAACCCATTCTATGAGAAAACAATCTTGAAGATGAGGGGAAAATAGAAAATCAATCCCAAGGAAAAGCTTAGTGATAATAAATTCATTATAGGAAGAAGAGACGAGTGGAATGAGCTATACCCATCATCATTAAAATTGAATAAAGGGATCTCAGCATAGATCCTTAAGAACAATATCAACTTCAGAAAATTATCTTTAGAAACTTAAATGTCTTCATACACGTTGGTGGATTGATATGAATTTGTTAAAATTGATATAGTGGTAAATAAAAGGGATTGATTATAGCTTAAGGAGCCCAAGTTTTGTATGCTACAATAATCTCCATTGTTTATAACATTTTTCCTGGATAAAATATAGTGAAAAAAATACATCATTAGCAACATCGGCAAATAGGATGTTATTACAGATTGTTAAGAGTAATATCATCATCTTAGGAAGATTATCTTCAGAAGCCTGAATTTCTTCATGCACATCATTAGCAATTATAACATCATCAATAACATTGAACAAAGGGCTCTCATCATAGCTCCTTAAGAACAATATTAACTTTGGAAGATTATCCTTGAAAACTTAAAGATCTTCATGCACATTGTTAGGTTGATACAAATTGATTAAAATGGATGTAGTGATAAATAAGAGGAATCAGTTATATAGCTGAAGGAGCCAAATTCAAAGTTTTGTTTGCTATAATAATCTCCATTGTTTATGACTTTTTCCCTTAAAAAAGATAGCAAAAAAACTGCACTATCGTTAGCAAAATTGACAAATGGGCTCTCATTTTAGATCATTAAGTTTACCATCATTAGTTCGGAGAGTTTATATTTGGAGGTTTGAAGGTCTTCATGCATATTGTTAGATTGATATGGATTTATGAAAACCAGATCTTTTTGAAATAAAAGGGATTGAATGCAGTGTAAGTATCAATTCAAATTAAATATGAAGATTGATAGGGATTGAATGCTTGGATCTCCTAGATGTATGAGAAACTGATGTTGTCCAAATTAGTTCCCTACATGGTTTCTCACTACATACAAAAATAATTTGTTTCTTGACCATTGATTTCAACCCAAAGAAGGTCATTGACGACTTTTATTAGTCCATGGAAGTTTGTTTAAAGTGTCCCTTGGTTTTGTTTACCGAAATGAGTCTCTTTCCTTAGGCCAATATGGCTTCAGTTAGGATGAGTCCTTCATAGTTTGATATGGTCAATATGGTCATGTTAAATTATAGATGGTAAAATTGGAAGGAAACTAGAACAAAAGTTTGAATTTGAATATTTGATGTTTGAGTCTCTTTTTGAAATTTAAACTTAAATTATAAATTCAAATTCAAATTTTAATGAATTTTATGCAGAGGTTGAGATTAGATATTTGGTGAAGGAAGAATGGGGGATACTGTGAAGGATATAGATATAATGATTGCTTAAAAGAGGAATAAAGATAATATAGCTACCATCAATCTTCATATTTAATTTGAATTTGTATTCAAATTCAAACTGGATTTTAATTTTCTCAATATATTTTAACTTCAATTTTTTTTAACTTAGAGTTTTCACTTTTTTTCTTTTATTTGAAGTTTGTTGTGACTAAGTTAATGGAGTGGTGTAGGGTGTTTGTGGCTATTAAAATGGGGGATGAAAGTTTTGTATGTATCAATCTCTGTTTAAAATTGCGCAATAAGAGGCGCGCCTCTGCGCAATTTGACCCAAAACCGCCTCAAGGCTTACGCAATTCCTCTCCTGGCAGAGGCGTACACCTCACTTGGACTGAGGCGCGCCTCAGAGGCGCAATTGGGCAATTCTGGCTAAGGCGTACGCCTCAAATATATGCTCAGTACCGTTAGGTGCATGCTTGGTACCGCTCAGTACCGTTAGGTGCATGCTCAGTACTGCTAAGGAACATGCTCGGTACCACTCGGTATCTTCCCATAAAAATAACTTACGAACTTAAAAAACAAATAGCCCCGCCAGGGGGCAGCGCCCCCTTGGACCCCCGGCAGTCTGCCATATTACTCTATTCATCTTCTTTAGTAATAGTTGTTAGTGTTAGTCTACTTCTTCATGAGTGCATGTTTTGATTGGAAGACATTGGACTTTATAGGAGGGAGGAAGGGGTGAGAAGATTCTCTTGAAGACTCATTTAGTGATGGGACATGATTAGATTATATATGTTCTTTCTTAATTATACTTTGGGAGTTTTGATAGACTAATATTTTGTGGTTTTGTACTTTGGGACATGATTTTATTACATCTATTTTCTTACTTTCCCCTAGTTTTAATTGTCATTTAGATGTTTTTATTGTATGATAGAATCTTACTATTTTTTACTTGCTAAAATCCTTAAATTCTCATTTACGCAATTCTTCATCGGGGAGGCTTACGCCTCACACCGCCTCGAGGCTTACGCCTCGCCTCACGGACGAAAAACGCCTCGAGGCTTATTTACGCAATTTTAAACCTTGGTATCAATGATGAAATGTATAAAAGAAAGTGAAATAATTAATACAAATGAATAAATTTAAAAAAAAAACTGAAGGTATATAATTTCACAATCTACATTGAATTTATGAAAGAGAATGTTATTGGAAACGCTGGGAAAGGTGTAGCAAAACTAAACTCAAAATAGGAAGGAAATTTTTTAATTTACTTTGGGATAACAAATTTAAAATTTTCTAGAGGCAATAATATGGCTTCCTGAGAGCTCTCCACGTGTCAACTTTTGGCAATGGTTGATTTTGTGAAGAAAAGGCCAACCATGTAGCACTAATGTGGCTACTAGATGCGAAAGTGGGCTCATTGGGTTGATCAAAGGTTGGCCCAATTTACTGCTATTGGATGCATATGTCAACATATGGTCTAATATATAAGTTAAAATATGTTATGATAGACATGGATAGTGGGATCCGCTTTCTTGGTCAACCTAGTATGTTATGGTGGGCTCACCAAGGCAATAGAGGTTATGAATAATCCAAAGGGCGAGGTGAGGCCCACTTCCCCTTCGGGTAGAGTTGGCTAGTTAGCAGCCTTGGGATCTAGCTAGCTGGCATGAAAACCCTTAGAAGTGCTACATGGAAAAGTGGGGATCACCTGAGGGAGGGGTTGGCAGTTCTTTAATTGAGCATCATGTTGTGTCATGTCCAATCATGTTGTGTTATAGAAAAAGTAAACATGAAAATAAATTCTTAGAATTTTGGGATCTAGTTGATTGACATAACACCCTATAGGCGTACATGGAAAATTGGGTTTCACATGACTCTGAGGGAGGTTAGAGTTTTTAGTTTATTGTAATGTCATTTTCTATTGTGTTATGGAAAAAGCGAATAAAAAATTAAATCATAAGGGTTCCTATCGCCCATTTAGCAACTTTGTCTGGCAATATGGCTGGGTTGAACCTCATGACTTTTTCTCAACTCCTTATTAACGTGGGGTTGAGTTGTGGTGGATTTTGTGGCCTAGTGGCCTTTTTCATAATTTTTGATGTTACATGGTGTTTGAGGCGATTGTATGATCGTGGATAGGAAACTTCATGGAGAGCTCAATGGGGAGTGATGAGTGGCAGAGCACAATAAATAAGTTTTAATAAACATGTGATAGAGAGAACGAGTTTGTTTTTCTATTTGGCATGTCTTGTGGAATTCTAAAGAAGGGCCATAGCTCTTCTTGTTGCAATGATGAGGCGACGAGGAGGCCAAAAGGCTTGGTATGTGACACATGAGAGGAGGTTTTTGGAACTCATCATTATAGGGCGAGCATGGTTGGAGCTTAGATAGGCTTTGTTGATTGGTTGCTTTTAGTTCATTGAAGTCGGTTCTTCTTTGTGAAGCCTAGCATTGGGGTATTTGTGGGAGGAAGTGCTTGAGTGAGGTGATTAAATGTGGCATTGGTGTAGGTTGCAAGCACGGTAGCCATCGAGATACATGACAGGAAGAGCATAGTTGGCTAGAATTCTCACAAAGTGGTGCATAGGAAGTTTTATTGAGCTCCATTCCACGGTCGGCTTGTGGAAACTGATCCACATTATTGATTGGGTTAGACTTGAGCCATTCGCATAATTTTTTCTTTTTTCCATCAGCATAATTTTTTTTCTTCTTTCCAAATCATTTCAGACTTAGAAAATTCAAATAACAGACCATTACCTGATTAGTTTAAGTAACTAATTGGCCCTAAACCATTTAAATAATTTAATAATTACTTAGTTTTATCAGTTTTTCTTACATTATTATAGGCGTTTGCTCATTCATGTTGCATAAAGGATGCTATCTGAAACTGTTGTTCAACTAGATTGAAGTTAGAACTGTCCTTAGGACAATTTCTTTTGTTTTTATTCATGTTGAGTCCTGATATATTGTGGAGGAACGTGCCGTGCTTTACAAGATATTAAAATAATACCCTAGTATGCTTGTTGACGACCCAATAATTAAGTTTTCCAATGCAGGTCTATCATTTATATAATATTCATTTTTTTATTTATTCAGCTTTTTATCTAATATGTGTCTCTGCATCTGCTGGGTTAATTGTAGTCGTACAACAACAATTTTATCATTTCTAATGGAACAATCACAAAAAAGTTTGTAAATTGAATCTTTTTTTTGGCAACCACCATAGAGATTTCTTTGATTTTGGACATGCTACCAGGAATTTAATCATCATCTAAGTATTCAATGTGCAATTATGAAATAAACAATAGCCTTTAAAAATGAGAATTGGGTTTATACAAAAACCTTTTGCTCAAGAGTGGTGTCAAGTTAGCTCTCATGAAATGCCTAGCATGTGAGTATGAACCATGGAATATTTATTTCACCTCCTAGCATGTTCCACATCTTTTTTGTGCATTCTGAAAGAGGGAATCAATTTTGTTTTTCAAGAGAACCTCTTTACGTCAAATTTTTGCCAAAATGAAAGTTTCATATGTTGAGGTTTTCCGAATTTAATAATTAGTTACCTGGAATTACATTATCTTCAATAATATCTTTCAAATAACTTTGTGATTCAGTTAATTGGTGCCAATTTCAGCTTACGAGTCTGCTCCTCATGGTCTGACTCTCATCCAACAGCGTTCTCCAGTTATCAAGGTGACCAAACTTCTTGAATTCAGGTTTAACTTATTTATGTTTTCAAAATGAGCTTTTTCCATTGTCACTCAATATCATGCAATCTTGATGCTGAAATTGCCTCCCATTTTTTCCTTAAGCTTTAGTAAACAGCATTCAAGGAGATTTCTGGGAGTTAACTATGATGTTTAACTTCACTTCTGTTTCTTGCTTACTACTGCAACTATTAGGACAATCGTAGTTCAGATATGAACAAAATTCTGATAAGCGTTAGTAAGAGTCAGTGTTATTTGGCTTGTTCTAATGCTTAATGGCCTGGTTACTCTTGGACTTGTTCCTAATTAATAATTTGGTTTTTCTAGAGAGGTGAATGGGTTGCTTGATATGTGTGTAGTGCTGCTATCAAGAATGTGTTGCTTGGCCAAAGATAGTGAAACTAGATCTATTATGATCTTCAATTACTTATATCGATGCCAAGTTCATTCTATTGGCTAATCGATGTTATTTGAATTATTGAAAATTTAGTTTGTTAGGAAGTTGTACTCCCATGTTTTGCCCCTAGACTGTTGCCTGAATGATAGCTGTTAGGTCATACTCAATGGAGGAACCATTTTATGCTGGCTAAATCGGTTACTAAAAAAAATAAAGCTTTCATGAATCGTGAGGCCCTGCTGACCGAGGCGAGCTCGTTCATGAATACCTTTGCAAGAAATACGGCTGGGGCCGCTTGTTCTCCACCGCTGATGCCCTAAAGACAAGAAACTCCCATGGCGCTTGTCCTGGCTTCCAACTCCGTTGAATTTTTTTTTTTGGAGTGTATTTGTGTCTCTGTTAGTATCTTTTCAGTTTGTCTCTCAGAAATTATGCTCAAGAATTCTCTCTCTCATGCGATTGTTTGGAAGATCCTTTTGTTGGAAGCTGTTGATTTTAAGCTTCTTTGGGGTTAGTAAATTTCTAAGGTATTAGCAACGATTTTTTTTCTTAAGTGACATTTGTATGAAAGCTATATAAGAAATGAGCGATTTTGAAGTGCAATCTTTGTAATGATGAAGTTTGAGGGCTGCTATCATGAATGAAATTCCGAAGGAATTACTCACAAAAATTCATATGAGGAATTGTTTTCTATAATTAGATTTGCTTTGGAATTTGTGCTATTCATAAAGATTTGTGCACTTGGCAAGATTTTATAAATTGCTCAAATCTTAAAATGAATCCAATGGTAAAAGAAACACTTCCTCCTGTGAACTTTTGTTTCTTCCTTGTAAGAATTTTGTCGGCCTATCTTATCTTATATTTCAAATTCCTTAATAACACTGTATGATTCTTTGTTTTAAGTTAAGATAGTTCACTTGTTTTCCTAGTTTGTTCAATTGGTCTATAAAGGGGTATTCCCCGTGTTCTTTTGTTCTATTATCTTCTTTTAACATGGATATCTTAAAGTTTAAAGCATGTGGGTTGGTTTATAATGGACGAGTTTGAAATTCAAATTTATTAAGCCAATCCTATTTATTAAAGCATAAATGGTGATATATTATGGCATGAAGCACGAATAATAAAAGAAGCAAGATTTATTATGTAATAGATGATAACTGGCTCAACGATTGTCTAGTTCTATATATTAAGAAAAAAGTATTTGTCTTGAATACAATATTATCAGAAAATATAAAATAGAATGTAAAGCTCGTAATTTATTTATTTATTAATTATAATGTAATATAAGAATTTGTTTTGTATTCTATCTTAATTTTTTTTTATAAATTTGTTCTCCTTAAAACTAAGGTTGGTTCCGCCTTTGATCATTCTGGTTCTTTTTTATCTGTCTCTGCTAGTTAAGCCTAGGATTTCTGAGGCTTCAATTGGTGAACTTTGTTTCGTTGCACGTGGCCAGGTCATTCAGTGCTGTTGGGAACACCTTTTCTCTGAATATGCACTAACAGGATACTTTTATTATACTAGCTTTTTGCTGCGCTTAATATGTATAAGCCCAACTCATGGTTATAAGGTAATTTAGTCGTGCATTTTTTGGGGAAAATAGAAAGTTTGCTAACAGAAGGATACCAAAAGGGTGAATGAGATGACAAAAAGGTCAATGTGAAAAATCTCAGCATTTTTTTTTTGTGACGAGGAACCGTCCACTGCCACTCCCGGCTTTGCTGAGCGCGCTTGGCAGTCCATAAACCCATGCCGACCTACCGGGCCACCCACGACACTGTACCCACAGTCGGCGCTTTGGGGCCCCCACTTAAGGGGCGACTGCCACTCGAGAGAATCGAACTCGGGATGGGGATTCCCAACCGAGCATGCCCACCAACCAAGCTAAGCATCGGTGGGTAACTCACCAAATTGGCTTCAACTAAATGTAGCTCTTACTGGGAATTAATGAATAAGAAAGATCGAAGCTGGCTCCAAATTACGATCTTTATGTTCTTGGTTGTTGTTGTCTTTTTGCTTGAAAAACAAAGTTTTCATGACAGGATTTATGAGGGTTTGCATAATTGGTTGTCCATTGATTCAGGGGATGATGATTGAATTTGCAGAAAACTTGGCTAATTTTGTAACAGCTATTGGAAAGAAGCATATTGTTATTCTTTCCAGCTTAGATTCTGGTAAAAGAAAGCAAATTGATGGATCCAGGTAATTCTCTTCACTTTTTTTTTTTTAATGGTGCTGTCAGCTCTCTCTGTCGCATCCATACTGATTTTATATCTTTACTTTTAGTTTTATGCAGATATATTACATTTCAAGTGTCAATGATGATGGAAATGATGTAAATTATGAAAGACTGGGATGGAAAAGACTGGAAGAATATAAACCTCTTGAGAGGAGATGGAAATATCTCAATCATCTTGCGGAAGGAAATCTTAGTCATGATGGCTTTGTAGATCTCGACAGCGAATTGGTTGATGATGATTACTATGCAGGACTGCCTTTTGCTGCATTATTTGTTTTCTGCAAGGTGATTATTTTGGTGGATAATAAGACTTTCCTTCATTCTTCAGGATTCTTGTGGTTAACTTCTTTGAATTGGTTTAGGCAAAGGGAGTCAAAGTTACTTGTTTGCTATGCTATTGTTCGGAAGGAGATAATATGCAAGATTCTTTCCAGTTAGCTGAGGCCTCTTGCCAGCTTCTGGGTCTTAATCCTGAAAATTTCCATGGTGAGTTTAAGCCTTGTTTATTGTAAGTTAGTTTCATATTTATTATTTGGTATATTAATTCCATTTTATTTTATCGCAGCATGGCTTTTTTTATTGGCTTATGGTTCAAGTAATTGTTGAAACAAAAGTTAGGATAGAAAAGTAGAAATAGTATTGCAAATATAGCGAGGCTCAATGATATAATAAAGTATGAGAAAAGGATTAAAATGGTCTCTTGATTCTTTATGAAATATCAAAATGACCCCAACTGTATTAAAGGATTATTTTGATCTCTCAACTCCTTAAAGAGGAACAAAAAATAGAGGTCTCAATTTCGGGTTTTGAGTCGGGTTCAGGTCAAACCCGGAATTGACACGGGTTCAAACTGGTTCATCCAAACCCAACTTGGTTTTGCAAATGGGTTGAAAATACGAACCCGGACCCGACCCGACCCGACATGGTTTTTTAAAACTCAAGGACGTGAGGTGAGGCAGCGTAGGCGACAGCGCACTCAGTGCCGGCAGTGCCGGCTTCGGCAGCGTCATCAACTGGACTGAGGACTCGACGTGACACGTGACTCAACGCGGGCAGACTCGACTGCTCCGGCAGACTCGACAATGCGACAGACGACGCTGTCAGTTTTCGAGTCGGGTCATTCCTGGGTTTTCAGTGCAACCCGAACCGGACATGATTTTTGAAATGGGTCGATTTGTCGAACCCGAACTTGACCCGTTTCACAAACGGGTTGCCCTTAACCCAAATTTTTTTGGTCGGATTCGAGTTGGGTTTTCAAGTCTTGTCAAATATTGACACCCCTATCAAAAAGTCTTATCATGTGACTATTTTGATTTATTTTTAAAAACTCGAAGGACCAAAATGATCCTTTAATACAATTGAGAATTATTTTATTCATTCTTAAAGAATTAAGAGATAATTTTGATCCTTTTATTTATATTGTATTCATATGATATAAGAATATCATTATATCATTTTCAATACAGGTAACGAGCCAGGAGGATGGGCGATTCCACTTTCATGGAAAACAGTCTACGGGCCGCCGCCAGATATGTCTCTCTTCTGATCTGTACTCCGATCAGATCAAATTTGAACTCTATAGAATCTCATACGGGAACTCTTTGTAGTCTGAATGCTAAACGGTACGTTTCCGTCCTTGTTATCTGATTCCCACAGTAGCTGAGGTTAGTTGTCCACACCAACCTAAACGTTGAGGAGGATATGATCTTGTTCTTCACAAATCTGACTTTTTTTACCTCAACAGCTGAACATTATTTTCACAAAGAGTCTATTTATAGTTTGTCGTTCTGAAGAAATCATTTTGTGCAGAATCCGGACGAAAAGAATCATTCGGATATATGAGTGTACACACTGTGTATAAACTCACAGTTCGGACGGTTCTTCCTTTCCGGACTCCGCACAGAATAATTTCTCGTCGTTATGTAATTCAAACCTTACACTTGAGAACACTTGGAAATGTTTGATTTCAATTATGCGTACATTAGACCAGCATGAAACCATTTTACATAGTAGAAGGATAAATATTTACTGAACATGTAAATATTGAAATAATAGTCTATATTCGTTGAACATTATAAAGAGTAGAACAAATAAACAGGTAAGAAACATAAAATCCTATTTTAAATGGCTGCTTCAATGTTTTTTTTAAGGAATTAAATCTGACAGCATTTAAATTCCTTAGTAATTTTGAATATATAAGTGGAGGTAAGAGGAAAAGAGATTTGAACAGAGAGGAGTGCGAGAGATGAATGAGAGAGAGAGAGAGAGAGAGAGAGAGAGCAAATCAAGCTTGTTTATAGAAATAGATAGGCCTGAGGGTAATTATAAGGCTGAAACTAAATGACTATTGTAATTTGTAAATGAATAAATTCCAAATAAGATATATAAAGGTAAAGAAAATATAAATGTTTTGAAATTCATTACAAAATGAAAGTAACCGATTTCATTAAGTTTTTGTTTGGTATAGTTTTTTTTTACTCTTTTTAAATTACTTTTTTAGTATAAAAATTTTAAAAGTTATTTTTAAAAAAAGTAAGAAAATTGTCCCAAATAAAGTCTAATGTTTTATTAGGAATAATTTTTTTTGCTGTTTTTTAACATATCTTTTTAGAAGAAAAATATTTTAAATTAAAAATTTTGTATTAGAAAGCTGCTTTAGAACACACTGACAATGGTGTCTTAAATGAAGTCTAAGTCTTGATTGGGTTATCACTCCCTCTAGGTATGAAGATCTTTCTTTTGGTGAGTTATGCTAATTTTGAGATTGTTGTAACTCAACATGAGACAGTCATTTGGAATTGATGCTACGGTTGGTAACTAACATAGCTAATTGGAATTGAAATTTCACTTGCAAAGGTATCTATTTGAAACTTTGGAGTGTAAAGAGCAGCTGTGTGCATCACTAACATTTTATGTTCAACATGCACAAAGACCGTCAGAGAATCAGAGCTCAAGAATGAATTGTATAAATTAGACTTATTTGAAAGAGTGTGTAATTTATATTAGCTTAGCAATAGTGCACACATACAAAGGGAGTGAAAAAGAAATATTAATTTTTCTATCAATTGTACTGTACAAACTAAATCGAATTGTACAATCAGTTGAAATATAAATTAATTAAAATAGTTAATTTAAATAAAAATAATAATTTTGAGTTATAACTAATCATATAGTATGAGCATCATATCATATTAGACGATCAGTTATAATTAAGAAATCTCACCGGCGAATCCAACTTACCTAAAATAGGCAAATTTGAATTTTGAAAATGAAACTCTTCATATTATACGAGCCTATTTGTATTGCACAATCTTTTAAAATATTGTCTAATTTAAGTAAGATAATTAAAGAATCAAACCAAATATGAATTGATCACAGATTGTATTGTGTGATCATAGTTCATAGTATATGAATCACCTGATGACACTTTAGACTAATTTTGGTTTGTCTTGTATGATCTGATATTTGATTTGAACTAATCTTCCTGTAATATTATTCATTCATCTAGTATGATCAGTAAAAAATTGAATTGATTATATTGTATTACTATTCATTTTACAATATTAATAGTGAGAAAATTGAACTAATAGTACTCTATGATCCATATATTGTGATATACAAACACAGGCGGCAAAATTGAATTATTAGGATTTTTGGAAGTTCACTATTTAAACTCTCTTAATAACCCTTGTAAATATCTTTGGTAGTTTAAGGGTTGAGTCTTTTATAAGTGAGAGCTTGAAGAGAGGGTTTTGAACAAGGGAGAGAAAGGGTAAAGTTGTGAGAGAGGAGAAAGATCCTCGTTGGTTCAAGGGAGTGTGAGAGAGAGTTTCACATGATTGCACCAGAGAACTTGCATCTAAGTTCCTCAATGTGTCAAGGTTTGTCTTGAGGAAGCTCCGGAAAGACCCCTTTAGTGTCAAAGGACCACTAGCTAATATGTCGTATCAGGAAGGTGAAAGTGATTCGAGCTACTCCACCTCATTAGGAGGGTGAAAGTAATTTGGGTTACACCACCTCACTAAGAGAGAGAAAGTGATTTGGGCTACTCCGCATCACCAGGAGGGTGAAAGTGATTTTGGTTCTCAACCGCACCAAGGAGATGAAAGTAATTTTATAAGAGCTTCTCTGTATAGCTGTGGGAACTGAAGGAGATTCACTAAGAGTTTTGTGCAATACTTGAAGATGACTTCAGAGAGTAGATGTAGGTCAAGTTGACTGAACCACTATAAAAATCTGATTTACTTGTTTTTTTTCTTTCCGCATTTTATTTTATGCTCTTTATTTTATTGTACATCTACTTTTTGCAATTTAGTTTTGTTTTGGCTACTCTTTAGGCAGTACTAAATTTAATAAATTTCAAGCTCCCCATGAGAATGATACTCTTCTCATCACTCTATTACTTGACACGACACACACATTTTTGTAGAACAAGATTTACACCTTGATAAATTAAACTTTATTCAGAGGACCAAGTAATGTGTGTAATAAAAACCTATGAAGTTTTTAATTTCGTTGCAAGAGAACTCTTAAAAACAATTATCCTATTTTTTTATTTTATATTGTTGAACAAATTACTAATTTTATATTATCTTTTTTTTTTTTTAATTTTTATCTACTTTGTTTTTCAACTGCTTACTAATTAATTGTTATTATAAGTATTTTACTTATTTTCTATTATGTTGGTTACTGTTGCATGCGTACTAATCAACGTTTTCATAATCGGACCGGACCGGTCGGTTCAACCGGTTGAACCGCGAACCGGTCGGTCGGCCGGTTACGGTTCAAATCAGAACCGGGAAATGCAAAAATCGGAGTTGGACCGCTCGGACCGGCGACTGGTCCCGGTTTCGAAAAAACCGCCTTCAAGAAAAAAGCCGCCATCTTAGCGAGGAATAGGATCGCACGCTGAGCATGCTTCTTTAATGCAAAAATGAAAAATCCAAACCCTATTTCATTTCTTTCGATTTCGACTGCTCGGTTTCTTTACTTCTTCCCGACGTCTCTTCCCCCAGACGCTCGTCCGTCGCAAACTCGCGAAGGCTACGCCGTCGTCCACCGAAAGAGGAGAGCTCGTTCGCGAAGACGAGGCAAACACTTACGAGCCTTCTATGTATGTTTTTAAAACTTTTGTATCCTTGATTCCTTTCATTCCTTTGTTTCTATTTAAAAAAAAAAAAAAAAAACTCAAAAACACATACATGAATCAATGGTTGTTTTCTTTTTTCATGTATGTTTTTAACTTGATTTTCCTATTCTAAAATGTAATTTTTTTTTTCGAATTTCAGTTTGCTGCATATGATCTTCGGCTTGGAAATCAAACCGAAAACCTGCATTTTCTCATTTTCTCAAATTTCGGTTTGCTGGGGGTTTTAGGGATTGAGCCTAGCTTTCTAGTAGTGATGAAAATAAGCTCAATGCATGAATTTTGTCATTAAAGTTGGTGCAAACCGAGCCAAAGTATCTTGTGAATAGGACTGTCACACCAGTTTAAATAAATTTAGAAATGGCGAGAAGGCATGACTCTCTTGGCCTTGCAATCCTTCCTGAATAGGACTGTCACACCAGTTTTATTTTTGTATAAAGTCAAGAAGTTTTACTGTGAAAATCATAGAGTTTGAAATATTCCCTAACTAAATGTTTCAGTTTTCTGTTCTGGTCAGAAACATAAGTCTAGGATAAATGAGCGTGCAAGTTAGGTTTCATACATTATTCTACTAGTTAATAATTAATTTTAATTTTTTTAATAATATTGTTATTTATTACGTCATCCGGTTCGATCCCGATTCGAACCGGTCGAACCGTGAACCTCTCCTTCCTCCGGTTCGTTGTCCGGTCCGGTTCTGAAAACCTTGGTACTAATAAACAACTAGTAAAGATCTTATTTGACGTTGGAATTAAAAAGACACTTACAAAAATAAAAAAAAATTAAAAAAAATTGTAAATGACGTAAAAATGACTGAGCAAATTCAAGTATTTATCACTATCAAACTAAAAAATTGTCACAAAAATGTTATCATTCATTTATAAAGTCAATTGGGAAATAATTGCATATTTCATGTATAAGTGAAGGGGTCGAACTTTATAAATATATTTGAATTTTTTTTATTTGCATTAAAATTTTCATTTATTATTTCAATAAAAATTATTTCTTTATAATTATTTTTTCAATTTATAAGCGAATTGATTCCATCTATTTAATCTACAATAATTTTTTTATAATGAGCATCCATCCAAATACTCAAAAATTGTCTCTAAAGGCTTCCAAGTTTTTTATAAATCAAAATATTTCAAAATCATTCTCTCTCTCTCTCTATTATTGAGAGTTCTATTACAAAAGGGATACAATCTTGATTATTTTTTTGCCAAAAGTGCAAAAAAAGTTATGGGAATATGTAATCCATCCTTAACTAATAATTAAAATTTTAATTTCAAAATAATTTCCTTTTATTGCCAAAAGTTGTGGTCATTTGATTAAAGCTTCGTTTGCGACGCCTTTTGTAAAAGGTAGCTTTAATTTGTTTGAGAGATTGAATGTTTCTAATAGAAAGTCAAATGCTAAAATGTTTATGAAAACAGTACAAAAAATGAAGTTACATAAAAAATAGTTTTATAAAAATGACACATACAAACAGCAACTCAAAAGTAATTTTGTCGTTTTGAAACAAAAAAGGCAAAATTAATCCCTCTCGAACGAGGCCTAAGTTGAATCAAAACGATTGATTTTGAACTAGAGCCAAATCTTATAATTAAGTTCTTAAATCTTAATTCATAAGTTAAAATTAAAATTTTTAATTTTAGGTGAGTTAAATTTGCTTTAGCTTTGTTATTATTGATTTGATTTAGGCTTAGTTTGAGGTAGTTTTTTTTATTGATTTTTAAAGTAACTTTTTAATAAAAATTTATTTTGAATTAGAAACTTTTGTAATAAAAATATGTTTTAAAAAATAGTAAGAAATTTATAGCAAACAAAGCTTTAATTTTGAACGAATAGCCTTAAGTTCTTAAAGGAGAATAGATAATCAACTCAAAATTATTTCATCTTAATATAATATTGAATTTATTAAATGAATTTGTCTGCTATAAATACTTAAATCTTAATCAATTAGATAAACGAATAATTGAATTCCGTCTATTTTTTTTTTAACATTTTGTAGGGACATTTGAGCTAATTAAGGCACTCACATACACATCATACATATAAGTTTTGAACGCAGGACTTCTTATGTTTTGAACATTTAGGCTAATTAATAAACTCACACATACATCACATATGCAAACTTCAAACTCAAAATCTTTGATTGATAACAAAAGTTATCAACCAACTTATCAAGATGATTTGCATACTTAAGACATCTTGGTTAGTACCTAAAGTTCTAAACCAACGGATTAGAATGAGCTACATACAACAACAACATCAAGCCTTCATCCCACTACGTGGGGTCAGCAATATGAATACCTTTTATGCATTATGTATGATTAAGAGTGAAATTCTCATTTAAATTTAATAAAGAAATATCATTTCTAATATTTTTTAGTCAAATTTTTTTAGGTCTATCACTATCTTTATGAATATTGGTTAAATCTAATACATCTAATCTCCTACTGGGTCATCAGAAGGTCGCCATTTTATGTGACCAAGCCATTTAATAAAAAAGAAAGAAAAAAAAATCAAACATTAATAAGAAAATCCACATATAAGAAAAAATTTCAAGATATAAATAAATTTTTATTATGAATTAGAAGAACATTCAAATCCACATATTACAACTCTCAAATTTATTTTTAACTAATGAACAACAAATTTGGACACCCAAAAATATATATATGAAAAAAATTCAATATTATCATGTAAATTTACATAACAAAAGGCTTTGAAATCCATTTAATGCATGTGCATCATTGACTAGTGATGAATTATTAAAGCCGTTGGTACAATAATGCCATAAATCTATGGCTCCATTAAGCGTCATCAAACAACTAACTTTACATTTCCAGCACTATCCATATTATTCCTAGTTTCTAAGAAGCCATAAATAATAACAAAAAGTAGCATGTCGCCCACCACCATATATCTCATAATAGAAAAATCTCAAAATAATCATTAAATTATTCATATATGATCATTTTAGTCCCAAAATATTAAGATTTGTTTAGGACGGCTTTTTTAGCGCTTCTTAAAGCAGCTTTTTAGTGCAAAAAATTAAAAGTTTGTACGAGAAAGCTGCTTTAAAAAGTAGTAAGAAAGTCATCCCAATCAAAGCCTAAATTCTTTCGATTTAATAGCTCGACTATATTAAATTGATCCAAACTAATCTATCATGTTATTTTTTGATATAAAATTGATTTCAATTTATGCCCTCGACTTTACAGAATTGATCCTATTTTAGGTTTCGTTTGGGATAGCTTTCTTATTACTTCTTAAAACATCTTTCTAATAGAAAAATTTTATTTTTTACTAAAAAGCTATTTTAAGAAACGGAAAGAAAGCCGTGGCAAACAAAGCCTTAATCTTAAAAAGATTATTCTAGATCAATTTTATATAATCAGAAGATTAAATTGAGAGAAATTGTTCTGTGCGGAGTCTGAACGTGAAGAATCGTTCGGACATGTTAGTGTAAACACTATGTACAAATTTGTACATAGTGTATATCAAATTTGTACACAGTGTGACAGTCCGAATAGTTTTTCCCGTCCATACTCCGCACAGAATAATTTCACTTAAATTGAAGCAACATTACACTTAGGGATTAAAATGACAATATCCAAATAGTGGCGGGACTATTTTGAAATTTAACTCTATCTCAATAGGCCATTACAATCCAAAACTATTTATTAATATTATAGTTACATCTGAACTTATAAGCGATAAGCATCTTAAATTAACATTTTGCTCTTCCCCCTTTCAAAAGCTCGCCCTCTTCAACGACGTCAGCTTCACCGACGAGCCCAATGCGGACGAGCCAACCTCAATCTCAAAGGAATCATACCTTAAAAACAATTCTATAACGAGCAATCTCGCCACCAACACGACGAAATCCTTACCGGCGCACTGCTTATTCTCCACCGTCGGCCCTTCCGTCTCCGGCCCGTTTGACCACACCACATGCCTCAGCAGCCGCTCACCTTCCTCTCCGACAAACCTATCTCCGACGAACTCTTCTGCTCGATCAAAAACCCTAGGATCCTTTGTCGCAAACGGCTGGTAACCAAACAAAACTTCCCCCGTCTTCACCTCAAACGCAGCATCATGGCTCCGAATCAATAGATCCCTTTTCGCCTTCCCGTACTGCATTGAAACGGGCGGTTCGATTCTGAGAGCTTCGTAGACGACGGATTTTACGAGTGGCATTTCTTCTTCGATCACCCGCATCCCGATTTGGCCGGCATTTGAACGCACGGCGGCGCGAACCTCAGCTGCGAGGCGGGAGTGGAGACGCCCGCCGGCGCGGCCGAGCCATTTGACGATGTTGGGGAAGAGGATCTTCATGCCACCGAAGGAGTTGAAGCAGATGGAGAAGACAAGGTTGTGAACGGCTTCCTCGCGCGAGATCCCGAGCCGATTGGCCTCGTCCAGCACTGGACCGGCGGATTCGCGGAAGAAATCGGCTAGGCGGTCGTAGTCGGCGCGGATGAGCGCTGGCGGGAGGCGAAAGGAGTGGAGAGTAGCGTCCTCGATAAACCTCGGAAGGCCGATGGTGAGCAACGGACCGATCTGGAACAAAACCCATTTTGTGATGATTCCTGGCGCATCAGATCCGAGCGGTGAATCCGCCGGATCACGCCCGAGAAGCGCACGAGAGAGGAAATCGAAGCAGGCGCGATCATTCCCCGGGCCAAAATCTACTTTCCCTTGTTTTGATAAATCGGATTCGAGAGATGAGAATAGAGACCCAAAAGCGCGGCGGAACTCGGGGATGAGAGACCGGCGACGATGCGATAGGAGGAAGAAGAGGAGCTTCTTGAGCGGGGCGTGAAGGGGTTCGGAGGGATCAAGGTACGAGAGGACGCGGTAGCCGCCAGTGAGGTCGGTGGAGGGCATGAAGGTGCCGGTGAAGAGGTCGCGCTTCTCGACAGCGGAGGTATCGAAGAGGATTGGGAAGGAGACGGCGTCGAGGAGAGCAATCACGCGGGGGTCGGCGGAGATAGGGGGGCCGGGAGGCATATTGACGCGGAAGACGGTGGAGTTGTAGCGTCTGATGCGGGAGCGGAAAAAGGCATCGCAGCCTTCAGTGTAGAAGTAGGCAAAGCGATCTTTGATAGAGCCGAGTAAGGGGAAGCCGTAATCGCCGGGGATTTTACGGAGGGGGAGGTCGGCCGGCGGTGCGTTGGCGGAGAGGGTGGACGGGCGGTCGGCGATAGAACTGCGGATGGTGATTGAGAAGGGAGGAAAGCTGGTGGTGGTCCGGTAGGAGAAGAGAGGAAGACGAGGGCTGGAATTCGGCGTGGAGAAGGCAGCTGTGGCGGCCATTGTATCACACACACACTCTCTCTCTCTACCCCTCTGGATCGATCGATCGATCAGTTCTATATCGGGCTTGGTGTGGGGGAGAGGATGAGAGTGGGGATTAAATATATATATATATATATATATATATAATTTAGCGATTGTGATGTTATAAATGATAATTGCTTATATTCATATATGTTTAATAGATAGTTGACGGATCATGACAAAGGAAATCTCATGGAGCCCACATGGTACTGGCCCAAAGTGATTAATAGGTGCTACTTGCCTGAGCTTTACTAAGAAGCTCACCTTTTATGGGACAAATTGAGGATTCCACGTCAAATTAGGAGCTCGATACTCCCCGCATAATTGGAGTACTATCTCAATCACTTGCTCACTTTGGAAGTGACCTCAAGCACTCGCTCTTTCCCATAGCGAACATCCTCACTAATTCAGCTACAAGAAAGCGCTTACTTATAGGACTCTCAACTGAACTATCCATGACCATTGAACTTGAAACTCTCCATTCTCGTGACAACACCTTAATTGCATCTCTTTTCTCAGATGATCTAAGGTCTCACACAGTAGTTATTGATAATATCAACCACTAGTCCACATAATAATTGCCTCTCTTTTCTCAGATGATTCAAAGCCTCCCACATACTTGTTGCCACTGGCCCCCTTTCATCTCAACACTTGTCCACATACTTGCCTAAACACATTTGCCCTCATCAATTATGTATTATTGAAGTCACCCAAAGGAAACTTGTCGAAGCCTTCTGACCTCACTCTCCTTCAACAAATCAGGAGGTGACACGTGTTTAGGATAACTTGTAGCATTTTATAGGTATCGTGTAGCATTATACTTTTTTACTTTTTCTCTTTGTAGCATTTCCTGTAGTTAACAAACCTTATAAATAAGGGGTGATATGCAATAATGAGGTGGAAATTTAATTGAATTTAGTGAACATTATGTTATTTTGAGATCTAAATCTTTCTTGATCATTATATAAAACTTTCTTCCACTATCTGAATTATCTTCATTCACACGGGTCAAGCTCACCTGCTCATAGGTTCAACATTTTAATAAGGTCTTGTGTCTCCTATAAACAAATTTTGATCTAACATTGCCTCAAGTGCAAAAAGCATGGATTGATGCCATAGATGAGAAGGCGGGCCAAAACCAATGAGTTAAACCACTTGGAGCCATCAGTGAACATGTAGAATGCCATTTATCTCACTTATCATAACCTCACCGAGATGGAAGAAAGAATTATGATGGCAATCCAAGACAACTTGGCAAGCCTCCAAAGGCGAGTATGAGGTGACATCACCCTTGAAGGTTCTTCAAACTTGATAATTTGCCACAAGTGGCCACAAGATAAAGTGTTGATCTCGATGCCAATTCTTGATTACACTTGCACATTGATGAATGACGAAGACAATATCCCATTGATTGGATGACTTTGAAGAGATGGGCCCTCGCTAGCGAATGTTTCTTTAAGAGAGATCACCAAGGTCAGGCCACCTCTTATAGGGGAAAGACTGATTTGATTGACCATTTAAATTTTTTTTAGTCAATGACTTCTTTGCTAAACATGGATAACACATTTAAGTGTCATCTATTCTTCATGAAACTAAAATAGTCGACACTTTGGTGGTTAATGTGCCTTTAGCTTGGTATAATCTCCTATTTCTCATTCGTCAACAACCATGTGAATGCTGAAGAATATAATAAGGTGGGCAATTCTTTATTAGTTACTCTCCCCTACAAATTTCCTACTATAAGAGAATAATAATGAGGCCATGAAAGAGAAAGAGTTCGTCCCAGGGATAGGGTTGATCGAAGGCTAAACCCTCTAAGAGATCATTATCGCCTTGAGCATCAAAGGGTAGCTTTACAACCCAGGTTATTGAAAATTGCAGTTCCACTCACATCACTCCCTTATATGACAAAGAAGTTATCTATTATCCAACAATGTATCCTACCTACACTCCTTTGATAATTTAAATGACAGAGCTTATAGAGGCCATTCAAAATAAAGGGTTCTTTAGGTGCCTAAGACCTATTAAGGTGACAGTACATGATAGGGAAACTTCCAGGTATTGTAGCTTCCATAAGGATCATGGCCATGGTATTGAAGTGCTTCGCCATATATAAAGCCTCATATAGGCGCTCATCAAAGTAGAAAAATCTAAGGAATTTGCATTACTTAAATATGGTCAGTGCCAAGGAAAGCCTCTATGAAGAGTAGTGAACGTGAGTCTATCCCTTCTCTCTTCATGCATATTATTATAGCAGTACTTGCTATCATGGGCAATGAGTGAGTATACTCACCTACAAGTAAAAAATGGTGATGGTTGGAGGAGTGAACTAGATGTCTATCTCATGAGCAACTACAGTAAACATCATCCTTGTCATTAACAAGCCTGTGGGAAGGAATCCACACAATGATGTTGTGGTTTTCACTGCCCTAGTCATAAACTTTTAGATTTGTAGTATTTTGATAGAAATGAATTTCTATAAATATAATTTTCAAATTTGAATAGTTTGTACTTCTGTCGTATCAATTATCATTTATGACAATATGAATTTAATTTCTTCCTAGCTCACCCCTACTTCAGGTTTACTTTATGGTGTCTCATGGTAGCATAAACATATTGAAGGAGTACTCTTAGGCCAAGGGTAACCACCTATATATAATAATTGCCAAATTTATCATTGTGGATGCCTTGATGATATATAATGTCATCTTCAACATTACTTTATGAACACATTTAAAGTCATGTTATCCACCTAAAACGTCACCATTAAATTTTCGATCGCAACCTACTACTTATGAGCATGAAGGAAAGCGGCAACTTACTAAAAAGAAGTATTACAATTGGAAGCAGTGTGAGTTCCATAATTGAAGGCCATATAAGTTATGGAGGAAGTGTTAGCAATAGAGTGCAAGTCCAATATAATCGTTAAAATAGGTGCTTCCTTTAACAATGAGCATAAAGGAGGGTTGATCCAAGCCCTCACTTGGATTTCTTTGCTTGTACGATAACAGAGATGCCAATGGTTGATGAAGAGGTCACCTGCCATCAATTAAATGTTAGAAGGGATGCTTAATTAATTAACTAGAAGAAGAATAAGACTCTCAATATACTCGCTAAGCCTATTAAGGAGGAAGTGCAAAATCTTTTTGTGGCTAACTTCATAAGGGATATTTAGTTACAGGTTGGATTTCTAATTTAGTGATGGTGTGGAAGATGTATACGGGCCTCAATATTTTAAATTTGATATACCCAAAAGATGGCTACCAACTTCCTAGAATAGATGCTTTGGTTGAAGTGAGTGTGGGCTACTCCTTCATGAGTTTCCTTGTTGCTTGCTCAGGCTTTCACAAATCAAAAGGCAACCTGGCAACTATGAGAAGATAGCCTTCATCACTACAAAAGGCTTGCACTATTTCAAGGTGATGCCATTTTAGCTTTAAAAATGAAATGGCGACCAATTAATGAATGATGGACAAGTTCTTAAAGGACTAGAGAGGGGGAATATTAACTTGTAGATTGATGAACTCTTAGTAAAGAGAAAGTCACCCATTCATTACATTGAAGATGTAATGGAGACATTCACCACCATCAAGAGGTATATTATGAGACTCAATTAACTAAAAAGTACTTTTGATACAGTAATTGGGAAGTTTCTGGGTTTAATCTTCACCCTATAAGGTATCAAAGTAAACCTAATAACTGAAGGTCATCTTAGAATTGTAGCTGCCAAATTTAATGATGGAGGTTCAACAACTCACTAAGTGAGTCACCCGAGTAAACGCTTCATCTCTTAATTGGGTGAGATGTATCACTGACACACAAATCACACACTACTATTCTCTTAATTATGGTTTACTACATTATGATGTGTTCTATGAAAGTATTCATACAGTGTAAAATAACAAAGTGATGAGAAAAGTATCATTCCCACGAGGATTGGAAGTACTCTAAAATCACTCTAGTACTATCTATAAGAACTACTTAATTTTATCTTATCAATTGAATATAATGGGTAATGCTACAAATTCAAAAAATATATTCTATATTAAAAATACTCTAAACATATGATATTTAAAAAAAAGGATTGTAAAAAATAGGTTTTTCCTAATTTTGTTGTAAATCAGAGAATAAGTACCCTTCATATCTTTCAAAATTATTGGAGTATTAGCTAAGATTTATCTCAATTATAGCTTTAATATCGTATTAGCTAAGATTTCTCTCAATTATAGCTTTAATATCTTCTTAAGATCCCATAATGTTAACCATCATATATATATATATACATGACAAAGTTACCTTTTAAATCCCTTAATTATTCTTTTACTCATCTATCGAGGTTATTGTGGGTCTCCGAAGGAACACCGCTCACGGGGGTTCGAATGCAGAGGGTACGGCCGCACTATCCCGTAGGACAAAATGATCGTAGGCCTCTACGCTCGACACGAACGGGTCGATGGGAGGGCAAATTGGATCGCGCATACGACTAACCATTGGGGATAGATGCTGTCGCCAGCACACCCCGATGGGTAGCAATGTACACGACCTAGTCACGGGTTTCCCCCACTCGATACGAGAGAACGAGTGGGGTAAAGTAGATTGCGGGGCCAAGTTTCCCACGGGCGCAAGCCCCCGTGGTTAATTACATCCCGGGCCGGAGCCCGAGAAAACTCTCGATTAAGGATCATACATTATCTTTTCCAAATTGGGATTAGCACAAGGGTATAGACTAGGAAATCCTACTCAAAGGAAAGAAAAGGTCTCAAAAAGGCTCAGTCAACATGCATGGCTCATACCAGCATTCGGAGGCTCTAGGGTACTAGAGAGAAACTGGAGAAAGAAAGATAAGCAATCAATCACATGCGTGAGAGAAAGATGGAGGTGGCGTCATCCTGTGACGCAGATAAGTAGGATTTAAGGTCCCTGAAAAGAAGGAACCTACCTACTATTTAAGGCATACTACGAGACCGAATGTAGTATCCTCGACTCCTAAATCTAGGTTGGGATTAGTGCTCTACGAAACACTAATACCCGTGTCCTAGCTAATGCAGTGCAAAACCTGGACTTATCCCGG